GGCGCTTTGTAAAGTAATGGTTTTATAAGGGGGGTGCTTTGTAAAGATCACTTACAGATTGGTCAAGAAGTTGGACAGAGGCCAAGGGGGAAGCTTGAGGCATTCAGTGTGAACCTCATGGTAATAGTGTCAAGTCAACTAATGAGGTTTGGCATTAATTAAACTGTTCTTCGTGGTTGAAAAAGACCGACCCAAAGGTGAATTTTGGAGCAGTGTTTGCGTACACATGCTCACAACAACAAACAAAGGAGAGATCACAAAGCAATCTGATTTCACACCTTAAGCACAAATAAGTCATTTTCATAAATGTCCTTCTGTCAAATGGAAAGCTTTTTGGAAATTATTCAAAGGCATTAGCTGACACAGCTATTTAGTTCTCTTAAAAAAGCTGACATTTTTAGTTGAAGGAAATAATGAATTCCTTTAAAGAGACACAAGGAAAGAGATGGGCAATAAAAGTAACGGTTTACTCTCATTTTCCATATGTATACATTATTAATTCTTAAAATATGACAGGAGTGATTTATTCCATGGGTGGCCCATTTGTTTCAGTAACCAGTATGTCCCTTACCAGAGATTGTTGCTTTGAATTGTTTCTTTCTGTTTGTCAGCGTTTGTCGCTGTGCTCACGGGTGTCGCCAAAGTGGCAAACGTCTAATAGCCTTTTTATTGCTACATATGTCATATGCTCTGCCATGATATTGATGGAATGTTGCTAGAAAACTAAACTCATTGTTACTCACTTACCTACTTACATGCTGTTCGACCCGTGAAGATCTGGGATAGAACAGGTCTTCAGCAGCCCATGCTTGCCGTGACCCGTGAAGATCCGGGGTAGAATAGGTCTTCAGCAGCCCATGCTTGCCGTAAAACGCGACTATGCTTGTCGTAAAAGGCTAACGGGATCGGGTGGTCAGGCTCGCTGACTTGGTTGATGCATGTCATCGATCCCAATTGCGTGGATCGATGCTCATGATGTCAATCACTGGATTGTCTGATCCAGGCTTGATTATTTACAGACCGCCATCATATAGCTGGAATATTACCGAATATTACAATTTGGGGAAAGCCCGAAGTGTTGCAGGTTTTAGATGTTTACCATTTCGGTGAAACCCATGAGCATGGGTATGGTGCTGACAAATCCAGAAACATTATCTGGGGCAACCAAGAATCAAAGCCACGATCATATGTTTCTGGTTCGCCTAAGGGACGCAACTCTCCAAAGAAATTGCATCATCTTCGACAACTTGGCCACCCGTGCCCAAAGAGTGGCTTGTGACCAGTACTGGTTATACACATGAGGAGAAATAGTTTCATTTGAAGTGTGTAAGTGTTTACAGAAAACATACTGACATAGAAGTTAGGGTTCTGTCATAATGATATTCAGTGGGTTTCACTTGGTGCAAGTCAGGGGAAAATTGGAATTGAGTTCTGCTGGAGAGAACATAAAACGTTCATCCTTTTTCTATGAGCCCAACTTTATTTCATAATCACAGATGAGACAACCATGAATTTTGCAAAAATATGTAAAATCTGTGCTGGGTTTCTTAAAATCAGTATGACACACATGCGATTGAAATAATTTCTTTATTACCCATTATTTCTTAATACTTCTGACCCGTGAAGATTCCGGGATAAAATAGGTCTTCAGCAACCCATGCTTGCCGTAAAAGGTGACTATGCTTGTCGTTAAAGGCGACTAACGGGATCAGGTGGTCAGGCTCGCTGACTTGGTTTGATGCATGTCATCGATCCAAATTGCGTGGATCGATGCTCATGATATTAATCACTGGATTGTCTGGTCCAGACACGATTATTACAGATTACAGACCGCCGTCATATAGCTAGAATATTGCTGAGTGCGGCGTTAAACAACAAACAACCAACCAACTTTTGAGCTCCCCTGAAGAAAACATGCACTGATGACGACTTCCTCCTCAGAAAACCATAATTGTCAGTGTGACGTCAATCCGACCTTACGGCACAGTAAGATTCGAATGACGTCAATGATACAATCTGGATGAAGTTGACAATATACTGATGTCCTTGAAGTGATATTTGCACTTGTGAACGTAAATGTTTTAGGAACTGTTATTTCTAACCCAATGGGTAATAAATAAGCTTTAATAGTTTATGCATACATGATATATAAAGTATGTTTGTATTAATAGAGTGAATTTATGGGTGAGAAGTATGCTAATTTCTGTTAAAAATATAAGAAGTACCAATACTTTGTGAAATATTCATTTCAGGTCATGGGCTTTCTGGTACCCGAGGGGCGGTTTGGTAGCCTAGTTGCTCATCACGCCAAAGTCCCGGGTTCAATTCCCCACATGGGTACAATGTGTGAAGCCCATGTCTGGTGTCCCCCACCGTGATATTGCTGGAATATTGCTAAAAGTGGTGTAAAACCATACTCACTCACTCACTGAAGGCCTTCATTGAAGTATCAGACAGATTTGTTATTAGAAAGTAATAAATATTGCTTGGTTCTTTCACTCCCCACTCACTCACTCACTCTGGTACCCGGGGCAGAAAACTATGTTGTGTAACAGGTACTTCTATTTACAAACAAAACAAGACAGTAAATATTTAATAATTAAGGTCATTTTGAAATGGATTGAGGTTCATTGGCTACAAGATTAATAAAGATCTGGCATAGATCATCAATATTCATGCATTGCCACGATATACAGTGGCCTGATGTCTGTCTCGATCTATCCTCTGGGCCCATTTTTGAAATTTGACAAGGTTGGTGTAGCATGATAGTGATTTGAGTGAAGGAAGCGAAGATTGGGTCAGGTTCAGTTGACATGGTTAACTCTTTGGGGATATAGAACTTATTCAGGCACAACAGAGCTACTTCCATTAGCATATGATATTTATCCTGTAACCATGGTAACCTGATCTACATATACAGTGCTTTTGAAAAGTCATAAAATCTCACCATGATTGCTTCAGGGTTGGAGCAAGCTGAAATTATGGCAGCACTAAAATTTGCAGGAATTTTATTTAGCTCACCTGCACGGAAGGGTAAAGTGAGCTTTGTTAAGATGTAATGTCTGTGATCTTCTTCTTATTGATCTTATAGAACAATAAGGTCTGAAATTTTGCATGAAAGAACCAAGCAATATTTATTACTTTCTAATAACAAATCTGTCTGATACTTCAATGAAGGCCTTCAATGAGTGAGTGAGTATGGTTTTACGCCGTTTTTAGAATATTCCAGCAATATCACGGCGAGGGACACCAGAAATTGGCTTCACACATTGTACCCATGTTGGGAATCTAACCCGGGTCTTCGGCGTGACGAGCGAACGCTTTAACCACTAGGCTACCCGACCACCCCATGAAGGCCTTCAAGTTGCAGACATTAAGCAGACACTGACACCTACATTATTAAGTTATATATAGTAAAACGTTCAGAATATGTTAATCCTGTTAAAACAATAGTTTCAGATACAATTTTTTCCAATCATGGCATCAAGATTTTATTGGGTATTGTTTAACTGAATCACCTATAGGTTCGGAGAAAACGTGTACAGCTGATTGCTATTTCTGGCTTAGTTTACGAGAAAATACAGATGGTAATCTTATTCCATATAAAACAATGCCTAGCATCGCAAGAAATACAATTCAAGGGTAAACCATCATGTCTTGTGATGTTTTATCGCAAGTTTCACATTTTTATTGACAAAGTTTGTTAATGCGTTGTTCATTCCCCTGAAGTGATACGATGTACATTTTTTACCAACAGAAATATTTTGATGAAAGTGTAACCTTTGCATTGGCTGACCCCTTTATATAGAGTCATTTTTCTGGTTCTCAAAAGTTGGGTTATGTGTATATATGCTGTAACTGAAAACTGATGAAGGTGTTGTTAAACCCGACTCACTCACATCTTGTCTTGAGGTGAGGTGAGGTGAAATTGGGTTTAACGTCCCGTCCAAGATTATTGCATTTATATAGCGACGTGCATGCACTTGTGTGTGTGGGGCTGCTTGTACTAGTCCGGACTGATGCCGATTTATAGTGCTAGCCCACTGAGATATCATGCCGCAGTTTAACATGAATACCCCACTCAGACACAGTATACTGACTCCGAGCCAACCAGTCCTTGTTTTAGCCCCTTAATGCCGAGCGCCAGACAGAGTAACAAGTACCATCTTTTAATGTCTTTTGGTATGACGCGGCCGGGGATCGAACCCTGGACCTTCCGCTCTCCGGGTACTTGTCTTGAGTGTTCAGTGTGGGACGTGGCAGTTATTGAGACACTTGTCGTTGTTGCCATTGTTATCATGACAGAAGGTTGGTGGTGGCAGCACATTCACTTGTCTGAAGTATTTTTGTATGTGTTTTCTCCTGCTAAAAAACGATTTTCATCGTCCTCTGGACTACTTGTGGGGTTTCTGGGTTAGAAATCATTCTTAGCAACTCATGCTGGTCATAAAATGGACGGAATGGATCAGGTGGTGAGGCTCGGTGACTGGGTTGATAGTATGTCCTCGTACCTCCACAGCTTGGATCGTTGCTCACAATTTCGATGTCTGGTCCAGACTTGATTATTTACAGGTCGCTGTCATATACTGGAATATTGCTGAATGCATTGTCAAACAGCAAACATACAAACAAACGAACATGACTCAAGTATAGTGGTATCTGGGTGGGCATATTATGACTTACATGTGCTCTGTATCCCTGAAGATCTGGGGTAGAACAGGTCTTTAGCAACCCTTGCTTGCCCTAACAGGCGACTATGCTTGTCGTAAGAGACGGCTAGTGGGATCAGGTGATCAGGCTCGCTGACTTGGTTGAAGAATGTCATCGATCCCAATTGCGTAGATCAATGCTCATGATATCAATCACTGGATTGCCTGGTCCAGACTCGATTGTTTACAGACCACTGTCATACAGCTGGAATATTGCTGAGTGCAGCGTTAAACAACAAACAAACAAACAAAAGATGTGCTCTGTCTGTACTCTTCTCTCTGTACCTGCAGGACGTATGAGGGATGGGGAACTGTGACGCTCCCCGAGGGACAGACGGAAGGAAAGAAGGAGGAAGAGGAGGAGAGGTATGTCCGGTGTGGAAATAGTGGCTGTCATATATTAGGGGGAGTGGGGGTGTCTGATGAGAAATATCTGAATCAAATTTTGCTTTCCCTCCCAATTTATGTAACATTTTTTATGCCCTTGCCGTACATGAACATTTTCTCATGACCCACCCTTCCTATGATAAATGACCAGTCTCAAGTATATAACATTTTTATTTGAAAAAAAAACATAACCTTTTTACATTTCCCACCCATATAGGTGTGAAATATTTTGGCGCGACACCCCACTTGTTCTGTATCAATTTTTCATGTCCCCCCTCCCCCCCTTAATCTCATCAGTCTTCCCACTCCTATAATACCTTACCTGTCCCCAAACACATACAGGTTGTCTTTATGTTGTGTCCTAACACCTGGTGCAATGAGATTTAAGGTTGTGTTCAATTCTATTTTATGTAAGCGTGCATGTAAGTGTGTGGGTACTTGTATGATGCGAGGTTTGTAGTCCTAGCCTGAGGTACCATGCCACGGTTTAACATGAGTACTGTACTCAAACATTCTACTGATTTTGAGCTGACCAGTCCTTGTTTTATCTCCTCACTGCTGAGCACCAGGCAGGGTAACAACATGTACCATCTCGTAATGTCTATTGGTATGACGTGGTATGGTGGTTGTGGATGGTGATCCTGGGGATGAGTTGGATAGTTGCTCGCGATAATGGCTGGGATCTTATATCGTTGATTATCCTGTGTATTAAATTTCCATTCTATTAAAAACCCCGGCCCATTTCCCACCACTGTGTTGTTTTAAGTTCAGTTCCAATGCTAAAAATAGCCAACCAATTTTTTTTCAAGATTGAACATAGCACTGTCATAGCATTTGACTCGTCTTTGCGTCTTGTAGCTTAAGAACTCTACTCCCCTGTCTGAGTACTCGGGGGGAAACATCTTTTCCAGATAACAAATCTAAGTGTCTCCTGATTCAGTTAAATATCTGAAGGCTCCCTCAGGCAAGACCGTGATTTTGAATGTAGATCTATGCCTGACTCGCATTCAGAAGAGGAACTATATTGGTTTGTTTGTTTGATTGTTTGATTGTTTGTTGTTTAATGCAGCGCTTAACAATATTCCGGCTGATATATGACGGCGGTTTGTAAGTAATCGAGTCTGGACCAGACAATCCATTGATTGATATTGGATTGACATGCATCAACCAAGTCAGCGAGCCTGACCACCCGATCCCGTTAGTCGCCTCATACCACAAGCAGGGTCTGGGTTTAAGGCAAACATGGGTTGCTGAAGACCTATTCTACTCCGGATCTTTACGTAACTTCGATTGGATGTTGATTTGAAGCTGAAGAGAAATTCTGTCTAAGTTTGTACTAGAGATAGAGATAGAATTTTTATATCCATTCCTGAAAATGCTTGAAAAAAATAACTTGTCCCGAGCTTTTTCAGAAATAAAAAAAATGGTTCTCTGACATGCTGGATGTTCTTAGACATGATGTGTGGTGAGGCTCCCCAAAGTATAGCACTCCTCCTTTCAAAGACAAAAGCATTAGATGTCTTGAAGCACTTACTGACAATGTATTTGTCACTTGCAAAAATTAGGTGTCGGTCCATTTTAGTATTATTTTCTCATGGTGGTATATTCAGGTGATTATCTTTCTAATGGAGACATGTTCAAATGACTAAGGGGCCAAGCTTTTGTCATTCTTGGAGGTGGGAGGGTTAAAAACCAATGAGTTATGGTGGTATCTTCATATGATATATGGGGGCATGGGTGGCCCAGTCGTCTAAGGGGCTGCGATTCGCTGTACAGAGTTGCGTCTTTTGAGCATGATTGTGAGCTCGAATCCCAATTATGTTTCTATATACCCGTGCTCATGGGTTTCACCGAAGTGGTAAACGTCTGAGACATGCATCACTTCTGGCTTTCCTTCCACATTAAGCTGATACGCCGTGATATAACTGGAATACTGTTAAAAACTCACTCACTCACTCATATGATATATGGCCTAATTTTCCAATACTGCGAAAACACATCTTGCTGTTCTTCTGATTATGGCTGTCTGTCAAAGACAGTATTACTGACGTACTGTAGAACCCTTTGACACACGAAGGTTAAATGTTTTGCTTTCTCTAATGATCGAATTCTTAAAAGCACTGAATAAACTTGGCAATAAAGTTTTCACTTATGCTTTTCATGGATGCAAGCCCATAAAATCGTGTCACAAAAGCATGACATTAGGACTCGCGACGCATTGCAAGAGAGTGACATTTAACAAGATATTGAAACCTCGAGACCATTGTCGCTTTCGTGGCTGTTTAAATGAAATGTATCTTGTACATTTCAAAGGACTTAATGGGATCAAAGATGGAAATGGACGATAAACCTGTACACCATACTCATGCAGTTTGTCGACAGTTTATGGTACTTTCACAATTATGAACTCGGCAAACATCAGCCACATGAGGCATATTTGCTCGCATATTTGGTGTAGATTCTGCGTCCGTTAGTCAGGCGCGTGCACGATGCAAAACATGCGTCACAAACCATTATCAAGCTGTGGTCGATCAATAACCTAGAAATGTACATATAAAGTTTGAGAGTGGGACTGGGGATAAAAGAATGCAAATACTCCAAGGTATTAATGGACTAAAACTGGTCAAGACGGAGTTGGGTCCTTAACTGCTGTTGGAAGCCTATTGAATGAGAATGGTTGTATTTCTTTACCAAGAGGCCAAGCACTGTTCAGGGCCTCCCACCTGTGACAATGCTCGTCCATATGTTGCGGGGATCACATTGTCCCCGTGCCTGTAGTCTACTTCAAGTCGCCCAGCTGCGACAGGGGGGATAATTTCATCTTTATTCTCATCGACTTTTCTCAAGACGTTGTGGATAATATTATTACCTACAATTGTAAACTGGGAATAACTTAAACTCGGCGGCTGACATTTGACAATTGTTGCTGCCCTGGTGTATAATTAGAATGAAACTGGGTCGTCACATCTTTGAGATTGGAGCTTTTAGAGAAATATATTTTGGGTGATAAATTTTTGATGTAACAGTATCTTTTCAAATTTGAATTCTTAGTTGCCTGATGTTTTGAAAATTTTAATTTTAAATATTTGGTTTATGGTTGTGTAATTATTGGTTTAATTGATTTCTTTTGTAGCTGTCTGATGATTTACTGATCATTTTGTGTTTAGTGATTGAAAACCTGACAAGTAATGTGTGTAGGTCTGCAATGAATGCTATGTCAAAGATCCTTCACATAATCATGAAATTAAATGTCTAAAGATTAAAGGTGGCCAAGGATTCAATTTCTATTATCAAACCTCAAGGATTTGAGGAGCCCTTTCACAGCATTCAAAGGATCAAATCAATGTACTATTTGACATCAATAAGTTTAAAATCCATATTTGTAAAAAATGATAAATCACATTTATTTCCACAATAAACATGATAAGCATTAAATATCATTTACCTACAAAGACAAATTAATTTGTCATCAATAAGACCAAACCTTAAAAATATGCATTGGTGATAAATTACACATATGTATAAGTTTCAATAATTAACAAAAAGATTTGTCAGCTGAAAGACGCTAGTCCATTAGTTTCTATTACTGTTGACAGTAAAGGATGACATGGCAGAAACACACATTATTATGCTCGTCAATTTCATTGTTAATTTCATTTGGCCAATATGTCTGAAACACAGATACGCCTCCTACCGAGGAAAGGGTGTGGCACTTCTGTCTTCCCTTACTTCATCTGTAAGTCGGAATGCATGGAACACATGCTTCTTAGCTTGGCCTAGATGGAAGATGCTGACAATGTTGTCGTGTTCAGTGATACGGTTTGATGAGATTTTATTCCTGGCTGGGAAGCTCTAATTAGTGAACCTCAAGCAAAGGCTTCATGCCATGTCATAAGAGGTTGATATGTGTGACTAGTTTTGAGAAGGCCTAATCAGATTATTTTCGGCGAGACAACGTATATTTCACGATCATAACCTGCATGGGGGATTATTCAAATCTGATAATTACAATTTCATGGTGTTATTCATTAAGTGAAAGAGAAGTCTTTGGTGGTGTGTTCCAAATGCATAACAAATTTATGGAAACAGACTATTTCATTACTATTTAAGTTAAGGGTTTCAGTTTGTCTGCTTTTAGTTGTTTAAGGTAATATTAGACATGATGATAATAAAACAGAGACTGCTCCAGACTGTCATATTGTATGTAACGGTGAATAATTCTGTGTTTTTATATTGCTGTTCGATGGACTCGTGGGGATTCTGGCTAAGAATATAGGTCCCCTGCAACCTTTTCTGGTTGTAAGAAGTGACTTAATGGATTGTGTGACTTTGTTGATGCATGTCATGATCCAGGGTTAGAAATTAACACTAGCGCGCTAGCACATTCAGATTCAGATTCATTCATTTACCTGTAACCACCCATGGTGGTACATGAGCACAATATATCATTAACATTAGATACATATACATAAAACAATTTAAGACATTGTATACATAGTTTGCAGGTTAACATCAGGATGAAGGGTTTTAGAGGTAAATATGCATAAAATTTGCAAGTGTTTAGTGCTGTTGATGGGAAAATAGTCTTGCTAATTTATGGGTATTGGGGATCTAATAAAAATATTCGGGGATGTGTAGAAATCTGTAGAGAGCAAAGAATTCACATTTAAATAAATAATGATATTCATCAGCTACTGCAGGGGCTAGCACAAATTCTTGTTGAACTTGTACAAATTTCCAAATTTTCCCATTGTTTTAGCATTACAAGGTCAATTTATCTTTCCCCGGGCTAGTAAAACTTTTGAGTTTAGTTCTAACCCTGTCATCGTATCCCATTTAGGTGGATTATAGTTCATGATGTCAATCACTCTATTGTCTGGTCCTGATTATTTACAGACTTGCCTTGTATAGCTGGAATATTGCTGAGCCGGCGTTAAACCACAAACATGGAATATTGATGGCTGGATATATGTAACTAT